AGCATTTTATTCCCGTCTCAATGAAGCTCTGTTGCCTTTAACCAATGCCCCACCTTTCCTGCTCACCCCAGGTTCTATTTTTAACTTTTTGAACGGTGGTCCTTGACTTTCTTAATGCTATGCCTTTAATACAATTCCTCATGTTGTGGCAACTTCCAACCACAAAATTATTATTTTTTTTTTTTTTTTTTTTTTTTTTTTTTTTTTTTTTTTTTTGGTTTTTTGAGACAGTGTTTCTCTATATTGCTTTGGAGCCTGTCCTGGAACTAGCTCTGTAGACCAGGCTGGCCTCAAACTCACAGAGATCTGCTTGCCTCTGCCTCCCAAGTGCTGGGATTAAAGGTGTGTGCTACCACCACCTGGCTCACAAAAATTATTTTCATTGCTACTTCATAACTGTAATTTTCTACTGTTATGAATTGTAATGTAAATATCTGATATGCAGCTGGCCTTAGGCGACCACTATGAAAGGGCATTCGATCCCCAAAGGGGTCTCAACCCACAAGTTGAGAACCACTGTTTCAGAAGAATATAAAGTGATGGATATAGTAAATAATTTGAGCCAACTATATCATAATACCACATTAGTTCCCATAAATTATTACAAAAAAATACAAATATGCCCTTTTCATTCCATGGATACATTCATACATTGATAATATTTGAGGGAAAATATTGGCTCCGTACTGAATATATATAGACTTTTTTTTACCATTATTCCCTGAATGGTGTAACTTAACAACTACTTCCATAGCACTTACATGTACTAGGTATTATAAGTAAGCTTGAGATGAGTTAAAGTATACTGGAGGATAGGGCTAGGTTTTATGCTGTTTATATAAAGAAAAAAGTTGAGCATCTGCAGCTTTGGGTACTTCCCCAAGCTCCTGGAAGCAGCCCTTCATAGATAGTGAGAGACCACTGTATCCATGGTGTTATTCAAATTGTTATTCACCACTTTAATATCTCAGTGCTCAACTTCATAAGTAGCATTTTCAGCCATTCCCTGTGAAATCTTGACATGGTGGCACACATGTGTAACCTCTCACTGCTCCTGAAGGTTGCCTCTTTGTCCAGTCTGGCTATTCAGCTTTGTCACAGATTCACCAGCTTTGATTCCTACCTTTCATAGCTTTTATCTGCCTTCTGGAGATCTGCTCCTCATGCTTGCCATGCATACATTTTACCCACTGAGCCATCTCCCTAGGCCTGATCTCTCAAATTTTTAATGTAATGGATTCATCTGTGATTAGTCCAAATATGGGAGATCTTGGGTATAAGAAGGCGATAGAAGGAAAATTTTTGTTGAAGGAACTGGCTGGATATGTATATGTATAAACCACATTTAAGAAGACAGTAAGCTCCTTGTACTCAGTAACTGCAAGGAAAGCAAACATTTTGCATCCAGGTGTTAGAAGAGCTTGCCTGGCTGCTCTAGAGCTGGGTTCAGGACAGTATGTTCCATAGTTGATCCCTGTTCAGTTAAGCCAGTGAATCTCAGTTCACCGCAGAGAAAATATGCAGTCAAGGCCAAATGGGGCTCCTGTAATACATGCTCTAAAACCTGTTTTCAAAGCCCACCTGCCAGAAGCCAGATGGTAGTTACAAGGTGAACACTCCTGTCTCTGTATTTCCCTCCTCCTGGGTCTCCAACTGCCCCTCAGCACTGAAGATTTCTGGATAGGTTAGCTGCAATTCCTTTCACATCCCATATCTCATGGGCTGCTGTGCACCGTTCCAACTAGAGCTGGAAATACCTTCAGCCTGGCACCTACTAAATAGTCTCCCACTTCCCTTCTTAGTCATTCAGCCTTTGGCCCCTATAATACAAGCAGATGCTATGCTGCTGGCCCATCTCAGCTAGGTGTTAGGAAAGCCAGCTCATGTGAATTCACACTGTGTGGTGAATGACTTAGAACAATTCCCCGTCACAAATGAGTGCAGCGTGGGTACACATGAACACCCTTCTCCCTGTCCCTACAAAGAGCAGGAAGCTAGGGAAAGGAGGCTGCTGTATTTTTGATGATGTGTCTTTAGCAACAGGGAGCCAGCACAGCCTCGAAGTACTGGGCTCTGAGTTAGCAAGTTCATTCTGCTCTCCTCTTAATCTCCAGACTTTCTCTTCTCCCTCAGAGCTATGGGACCCTAAGCATGGTTTTGCACTGACTTGTATTAAAGTTTTCTGTGAGTCCACAGGTATGTTGTCATGTACATAGGCATCTTCATTTACTGCTTCTATTATGTGGCAATCTGCTGCTGGCTCTAAGGGAACTGAAGGAAATGGTTTCTATCTTGTCTAAGTTTGGAGATTTGTACTAAGTGATTGCTGGAACAGTGATGTCACAAAACCCCCTCTTTCAGAGTGCACCCCAGCAGTAGAACTTGAAAAGTGGGTATGGACCAAGAAGATAGTCTGAAACGATTGCCTGGGGACCCATTGTCTTGTTTCTTGGAGAATGTAGGCATTCGGTAACTTTATTTGGATTAGTCATGAGAGAAAGGGAGAGGGGGTGTTACATGAAGAATGCTTGGGGAAGGGAGAGGAAATAGATAGCTTAACTCCTGGACCAGAACAGCCTTCAACTGGAGCCTCAGTTTGGGGCTTGAGAACAAAAATGGGATGAATTTCAGATGCAGCTTAATGAGAAGAGTTTTGTTTAGGGCAGATGGTCCCAGGTTGGAGATCATGCTAAGGAAAGAAGAGGAGCGCAAGAGAAGAGGGGAGGAGATCAAAAGGAAGGGGAGCCTAGTTAGAACACAGATAATGACAGTGGTGGGTGACCCTGACCCATTCTCATCTCAATCTCTCTCTCTCTCTCTTTCACTCTCTCTCTCTGTGCATGCGTGCGCGCGTGCGTGCTTGTGTGTGTGTGTGTGCGTGCGTGTGTGCGTGCGTGTGTGTGTGTGTGTGTGTGTGTGTGTGTGTGTTGCTGCTGCTGTTTTATGAGGGGGAAAAACATCCAGTCCCAGCAGTGACACTTCAGAATAAAGAAAGAACACCAGAAAGTCACCTTTGGCTTCTTTTGACACGTGCCCTCCAACACTACAGGAAAGAATGAAGAGTCAAGAGTGGTTAAGAAAGAGAGGGAAGATAATGTGAGCAAGTCACACCCATCAGAAACAAAGCATTTCAACCAGGACAGTGCAGTCTTCTAGTGGGCCTCCACAGTGCGCTTTCAACTCAAGAATTCTGCAAATCTGTCAAGAGCAGCAGCAGAGAAAGAGCGGCCTGTTTACAGATGGGCAAAGGGAAGGGCTTGAGGGCTTTTAGCCTGATGCTATGAGTATAGTAGACACTCAATAAATATTAGTCAAAGGATGAAATCATCTATATGGGGAATACTTAGCAGGGAACAGAAGTTAATCCCCACACTTATGCACATGAGTTTCTTTCCAATTTTTAGTCACTTTCTGTTTGATTTATGTGCTTTTCCATGTTTAAAATGAAAGCTGAGTTAGACAATATTTGATGATGTCCTTCTTTCTCCCCTTCCTGCCTCCCTCTGCCGCCATGTTTGAGACAGTCCTTAGCTTTGTTCTTTTCTCCCTGCAATTGTGTCTACTACTCTTCAGGGATGAAAGGCAAAAAGAACCCAAAAGCTAGCAAGCACAAATGAATCTGAAGCAAAGAATTTAGGAGGTAGTTGGTCAATATACACATTAAGCATAGACAAAAATGATTCCTTTTGAATATAAGACTTTTGATTTGTTTTGCTTTTTGAGACATGGTCTTAAACTAGCTCTGTAGACCAGGCTGGCAGAGATCAACCTGCCTCTGCCTCCTGAGTGCTGGGATTAAAGGCATGTGCCATCAATGCCCGGCAAGACTTCTTTTAAGTAGTTTATATGCAATATGCATTTAAAATGTAAAATTAAGACAAGAATGATTGGAGGGGTATTTTTTATTTTGAGAAAGGGTCTTTCTCAGTGTAAGCCATCATACCAAGCTCAGAATGTTGATGTTTTTGTTTGCTTTTGGTTTTATTTTTCTATTTTGACAAAATCTCATTATGTAACTCCAGCTGTTTTTTTTTCTTACTATTCCTCCCTTCCTCCTTTCCTTCCTTCCTTCCTTCCTCCCTCCTTCTTCCTCTTGCTCTCTGTTTCTCTGTCTCTCTCCAAAATTTCTCTGATTTGCAACATGTCCCACTATATCAGAGAATATTTTGGTCACCATGAGTTATAATGGTACTGATGGAAGGCCAGATTAATTATTTTGGTTTTATTTAATTGAGCCATTCAGTCAAATTTCAATACATGGTTGTCAGTGATAAAATATAATTTCTCCGTGATTGTTTTAAAGAACATATTATATTTCATTATGGGGAGCTGTGTACTTGCCACAGTGAGCATCAGGAGGGCAGAGAATAACTTTTAGAAGTCTCTCCTTCTACCACGTGAGTTCCAAGGACTGAATTCAGGTCATCAGGCTTGCCTTTACCCAATGAACCATCTCACCAAGCTTCTTTGGTTTTAAAATTCAATTTGTTTGCTAAGAAAGAAGGTCATAAGGAAGGGTTTATTGGGATAATATATGTGAGGACTTCACAACCATTAAGGCATACCAGGTTGCTAGTTTGAATTAAACTGTTATTTCCCATGCCTTGATTTAATGTTTAACATGAAACTGTTTTGTTTGGGTTCCATGCTGGCCATACACAAATGGGATACCAATCCTAATCAGTGCAGATTCTCGTACTACACAAGAAGGAGGGATACATGTTTCATACCAGAATAGCAAGAGAACGCCATTTAAGAAGTCATATGCCACCATTCCAGACCCAAGTAGCTCAGCGGGTAAAGCATGACCAAGTAAATAATAAAACCCTCAGAGGCCATGTTAGTGATCTTTCACATGCAAGTTCTTGCAATGAAATGAAAATTCACTTCTGCCTCACACGGAAGATCCCTTCCCCTCTGTGTTTTTGCTTCAAAAAGTCATACTTAAACTTTACATAAGACATGAGGTAACTTGCCTCTTGTATTTTTATGTGTTCTAGAATTCCTTTTGGACGCCTTCTTGCCTCCTGTGAGATATTACCCAACCTGCTGCAAGAATGAAGGTGTTCCAGTTCCTCGGAGGAATGGTCTTCTTCACCTTCATGTTTTCCAGCTACTCTGAACAAAATCAAGTGAATGTGCTGTGCTCGACGGATTGGTTCATGGTCACCGTTCACCCCTTCTTGCTGAATAATGATGTCTATGTCCACTTTTATGAGGTGCATTTGGGCCTGGGTTGTCCTCCCAACCACGTTCACCCACACTTCTACCAGTTTACCTACCGAGTTACAGAATGTGGCATCCGCATCAAGGCCATCTCTCCAGATGTAGTTATCTACAGCTCTGAGATCCACTACGCTTCCAAGGGCTCATCCTCTAGATATGTGATCCCCGTGTCATGTGCTGCCCCTCGACGGTCCCCTTGGCTCACTAACCCCCAGTCCGTGAAATCTCCCGGCAACAACATGGCTGCGACCCAGAGGAATGAGACGTCCTACAATGTGTTCAGCTTGCCAGAGCCTAGCCAAGCATCCAACTGCAGCTGTCCACCTAGTGTCTTCAATCAAGAGAGCATGTAAGCCCATCACCAGCAGAGTCTTTGGAGGCCCATCTCGTGTAGTCATCGGACTTCACTGATATTTCTGGGGACTAGTGTGTTCACTCAGATGATATGGGGAAAGCCATGTAGTGCCCAGATTTGGAGGCTTCTGAAAACTCTGTTTCTAGAATTAGTATGTAGCATTTTCTACTGTCAGTCAAATAAGTGCCATTAGGGCTTTTGAAGATGAATTTTGTGAAGGGCCAATTCATATATAGCCAATTATAACTTTCTTTCTTTTTTTTTTTTTTTTTTTACTATTTTTGTATCTTTAAAAACAATAAAAGTTCTGACAGCATTAAAGTATCAGTTGGATGGTTTTGCTTCCTAAACATATAGCTCGTTTTATCTTTGGAACAGGAGTTAATCCACATGGTTTGCTGAAATCTGTCCCTGGGTTTTTCTCTCTAGGATGATTTCCCACCCCTTCAGGTTTCTCTACAAAGACTTTCCCAGGAGAATCTCTTCCTCTCTATCCCCATTTCCCGTCTTCTGTTTACCACCAACGAGCTTAGCACTAAGTCTCCCTCGTTTGATCTCCAGCTATACCACTTTTTATGTACATAAAGGATAAGCTTGTTATCTTCAAGTCTCCAATGATGCTGGGAAGCAGACAAGTCACGTTCCAATGGTCCCAGGCTAGGTTCCCAAGACTGAGCTGGATCATAAGCTTACAGTACTTTGATAGAAAGCCCTCCTACCCCCAACATAAACTATCAGAAACCAGCCTGTGGCTGTCCGTTTGCTTTCTCAAAGGCTTGAAGCAACAAGAGGAAGTGACTAACTCAACAACTATTTATTATGCAGTGAAGTTACATGCAGACCTGGCTCTGGATACCAAGGAAATGGTAGTGAGAAGAAAGGGACTCTGAAATGGAGGTCACATAGCTAGTAAACAAATAAGTAAATAAAGATAAACTCAGATGGTGACAAATGCTATGAAGAACTTCAGAGTGACATGGGAAACTGGGGAGGGACCGGGCCTCTGAGGTCTTGCCATTTGAACTATGGCTTGGATGTGAAGGCAGGGAAAACGTGAAAAGAAAATATAACAGATAGTGGAAACATCTCATTTAACCCTTACTACAACCTTATAAAAGAAGTGCTCTTGGCACACGCTTTAAAAATAAGAAAACTGGACTTGGCAGAGGCAGGAGGATTGCTACAGACTAATATAATGAGATAGTGAAACTATCTCAAGCACACTGGCGGGCAGGGGGTGGTATTGAGGCATGGATGATTAAGAAAGAAGTTAAAGGCCATATACCTAGTAAGAATCAGACTCTTAAAAACATCATGTTGTGCATCATAAGCATAAAATTCTTATTTGAAAATGAAAATTACTTTTAAAGAAGAAACCAATATCTAAGAGAGATGACTTGGTGGTTAAAACCACTTGCTGCTTTTCCAGAGGACACAAGTTCAGTTCCCAGAACCCACATTAGGCAACTCAAAGCTATCTATAGTTTGAGTTCCAGGAGATCCAAAGCCTCTAGCCTCTGTTGGTACCTGCATACACATGCTCTCACATACACACTTACATATCTACACATAATTAACCATATTAAAATTAAATCTTGAAATAAAAAGGACACAATGTTTTAACACAATTTTCCCATTAATAAAAGTGAAGTGTTTTAAGACACAAATAAATGTTTAAAATGAAATCATCAAAGAAAGAAATTCAATTATGGTCATTAAAGGGACAGAGATTCATCTCAGTACCTCTAGCTCTTTGTGATAAAATGCCAGGTAGCAATCCCTTGAAGCAGGGTTTGGATGCAACAAATACTTATTATAGTTATCTGATATGTCAATCACTATCTTAGGTGTTGGTAATTAAATGGTTGACAAAACTAACACGGTCTGATGTAATAGAACCACAGAAAGATGCCTATGGAGTTAGAAGCTGCAAAGGCTATTCTAGCCCAGACAATCGATTTGCACAAAGATATGAGGACCAGGGCTGAGGTCATTGGAGAAAGTGCTAGTAGTCTCTCTCAATATAGTGGAAGTACAGCAAAGGGACAGATGGTGATAGGAAACAATGAAAATAGCAACAACAACAAAAAGATGACATAGAATGTGACATAGAAGTGACATAGAATGATGTGTGGAAAAATTGAGAAGAAAGCCAGATCAGTTCTAGTCACCAAGATGGAGTAAGCCTACAATTTATGAAATTGGAGTCAACTGAGAAGGATCTTATTTGAAAGTTAGTTTCGCTGAGTTAAGATGAAGGAGAAGGCCATTCTAGGTAAAGAGAATGGGGGAAAATGTGCAAAAAGAACTGAGTCTTGCTTCTCCAGCAGCTATCAACAGCCAATAGCTCTTCAGCTATGGGTGGGGCTTGGTGAGGCCCTCCTTGCTTCATGCTGGAATTTTAGCTGGCTTGATCGAGTGTGGGTCTTATGCATTCAGCCGTAGCCCCACACATGCTGACATCACTAAATGGATTCATGGTTTTAAAAAAAAATAGTATATGATGTTGGAAGTGAAAAGTGGTGAGGAGGTATGGGAGATACTGGAAGGAGGCAGGAGGAGTAGATTTTACAAAGAAAAAATTATTGTATACATGCATCAGATTCTTAAATAATAAAAGAAAAACATATACGAAGAACTGCTGATCAGTGACCATATTTTACATAACTTGACAGCCCAATATGATTAAGCAATGATTTTAATCAGCCATAGGAACTGAGAAGTAGCACTGGAAGAGCTATCTTAACCATTGAGTCATGCCTCCAACCCCTAAACCCGAGTTCTTAGTTGAGTAATTTAGTTGCCTTGTGATACATCACTCCAAAAGAATGTTTTTCTTCCTTATTGTGGTAAGGCTCAGTTAATTTGTAAGGTGACATGATTTATAAAACTCCATAACATAGTGTTCAGCATATCTGTAATAATAGTAAGAGATGCTGTGTTGTCATTAAGGAACTGAACATGTTCACCTTTCAATTTCTAGAAAAGCCAAAAAGGTCTGCACCATTTGTTAGGATAATTGCTGGTCAGAGCTTAAGCATTAGAGCTTTAATGAGATGTTTCACCCATATAAGGAGCCTTGGAGTAATAGCTGAGAATGCAGCTCACTAGTACAATGCTTACACAATCTCCCAGCACCATGGAAAATTTATTAGAGTCTGATAACAGTGAACCATATTTTTTAAAATATTGTATATTTATTTTTCTTTGACAAAACCATATTTTAATTGTGTAAAGTACACACACACACATCTTGATGTCTTATTAATTTTATGAGCTGGAGAGATGGCTCATATTTTATTAATTTTATATTTAAGCTCTTTTTATTACATTTTTATTTAGTGTGCGTGTGCACATGTGTGCCACAGCATGTGTATGGAGGTCAGAGACCAGTGTTATGCAACCACTTTTCACCTTCCATCATGTGTGTTCTGGGGATCATAGTCAAGTCTTCAGGCTTGGTGGCATTGCTTTTACCCTCTGAAACTTGTTGTTGGCTCTATAACCCATTTTGAGTTGTATATAAATACTTCTGTTCCTTTCTCCCTCAACCAATAATGAAATTTTGATCAAACGTTAACTTAAACAGTTCACACACACACACACACACACACACACACCTCATTTAAAAAGTGTGTTATCAAAAAATGAATGTTTATCATAAGACGAAGGCTAAATTTCACAAAATGCCTCTTGCTTTTAATTACTGTTAATCTCTATGACAGATTTCTACAATGTCCTGTTTAAACTATAATTATAGCTGTTTATTTTCAAAGAGAGAAAGAAGTAGAGTTTCAATTCTGTGATTTTCTATGACTCTTTCAACAAATGAGGAAAATAGCTAAATAGCTATACAATTACAAACACTGTTGCATTAGTGATTCTACTGTTGAATAATGATTACCCAAAACACCAAGCCTTGTGGTCTGCCTGGTTGCATGAGTCAGGAATCTGGCTAAGACGTAGCCAGGTGTGCCCAGCTCAGGGTCTCCAGAGGCAAGCTGTAGCCATCTCAACACATACCCAGAGCTGCAGAGTCTGCCTCCAAGTTCACTCCTGTCTTGAGGCCATATCCATAAGCTGTCCAAGTGTCCTCAGGTTTCCTCACATAGCAGTTAATGAAAAAAAGGAAAGAGGAAGGAAAAGCAGGAGGTCCATATTGGAATTCACTTTCCACTCTCAGAACAACCTATAATTTCTGATTTATTCTATTTATCAAAGGAGCCTCTAGATAGTGGTTCTCAATCTGTTTGTTGTGACCCACCAACACCATTGGAAACCACAGATATTTCCATTACAATTCACAACAGCAACAAAATTATAGTTATGGAGTATCAACAAAAATAATTTCATGGTTGAGGGGTCACTGCAACATGAGGAACTGTATTAGAGGGTCACAGCATTAGGAAGGGTGAGAACCACTGTCTAGACCATCAACATGAGGAACTGTATTAAAGGTCCCAGCATTAGGAAGGGTGAGAACCACTGTGTAGACCATCAATCAACATGAGGAACTGTGTTAAAGGTCCCAGCATTAGGAAGGGTAAGAAACACTGTCTAGACCATCAACATGAGGAACTGTATTAAAGGTCCCAGCATTAGGAAGGGTGAGAACCACTGTCTAGACCATCAACATGAGAGACTGTATTAAAGGGTCACAGCATTAGGAAGGGTTTGAACCACTGTCTAGACCATCAACATGAAGAACTGTATTAAAGGGTCACAGCATTAGGAAGGGTGAGAACCACTGTCTAGACCATCAACATGAGGAACTGTATTAAAGGTCCCAGCATTAGGAAGGGTGAGAACCACTGTCTAGACCATCAACATGAGAGACTGTATTAAAGGGTCACAACATTAGGAAGGGTTTGAACCACTGTCTAGACCATCAACATGAAGAACTGTATTAAAGGTCACAGCATTAGGAAGGGTGAGAACCACTGTCTAGACCATCAACATGAGGAACTGTATTAAAGGTCCCAGCATTAGGAAGGGTGAGAACCACTGTCTAGACCATCAGCATGAGGAACTGTATTAAAGGTCCCAGCATTAGGAAGGGTGAGAACCACTGTCTAGACCATCAGCATGAGGAACTGTATTAAAGGTCCCAGCATTAGGAAGGGTGAGAACCACTGTCTAGACCATCAACATGAGGAACTGTATTGAAGGTCCCATCATTAGGAAGGGTGAGAACCACTGTCTAGACCATCA